GAGGTACACAAATAGCTTAACTTTCTTTATCTTAGCTAGACGTTGAAAAGGCTTTAGGGCAGTTTTCTCAAATAGGTTTTAACATTTATCTGCCCTTTAAACACAAATTTTGTTCTGAAAAAAAATGCGCTTGAACGGCAGATAAATTCGAAACCCTACTTGTGGAATTACACTGAGTAAGCCAAAAATCAGAATAGGCTAGTTAGTTTGCCATATCCATAAGAAAAGAATCCAGCTTTGATTGCTGCTTTAAGTGTGTAGGGGAATGGAAAGCAGGACTAGTGAAAAGGTCAGTAAGGGTCATTATGCAGCTGAAAACTAGCTAAATTCTAAATCAAAGAATCTTTTGTTTATTTCCTTAATTCAATTAACTCGAATTGTCCCAGATTATTATTTTTAGATAGAAAAACACATGCAAAATCTACTTTCCTTTGACAGGAAAGTATTTAAAAAAAAAAAGAACGGAAATGAATCTGGCTTCAACCGTAGCTCACGGATAAATGTCAAGACTGAATTTATTTTCAAGATTTTGTCTTAATTATTATTTCTCTCACTAGAATTGTTTACATAAAAGCTAATTTCACAACGACGCCTTGGCGTTGCATCAACCAACGAAGCAAAATTAATAGTTTACATTAAGAACGGAAATTGCATATTGGCTTACATTGAATTCATTGCCATTCGATTTATGGATTTTCGGAATGAGATTTTTGTTTATAAGTGTCATAGTAACACTTGTGTGGTCTGCAGTTAACATAAGTGGAATTTTTTATAAAATTTGGAATTGAAATTAAGAACGTAAATGGCATATTAAGTTACATTGAATTTGTTGCGATATGCTTTATGTAATTTGTGTTTACAATTGCTCTTATCTATACCACTGTGTGTGGTCTGCCGTTAACTTGCATACTTAGAGGTACATCCTAATTTTGTACGAAATTCAAAATGCAGCCCTCTTTACGGTATCGTAAGCGGGTTCTAGGAAGTGGGGGAAGGGTCTTATTAATTTTTTTGTTTGTTATTTTCGGTTTCAGCGGCCCAAAAAACATAAGAATACACATCTATCTTAACTTTGCCTGGAAAATTAAATTTTCATCCCCCGAGGTGGTTGTAGGGGGGTGGTAACGGGAATATGGTAAATCGAAATAATTTTTTTGGTTATATTTGTTTTCAGCGTCGCCAAAAACCTAGAAATAATGGGATCTACCCTCGGCTCACAACATTTTTTGTTTGTGCGCCTGTATAATTATCATACGACTCTTCACGGATTCTCCACCTAAAGGTGTCTAAGACCTATTTTCTGCTGTTTGGCATGTTTCCAAATATTAACACCTTATGGCGATTTCGTTTCTACAAAAAATGTTGCCTTCTCATCGCCCTCTTCGTAGTGTTTCTGCGTAGAGGGCAAAGAAAGGTTCCATTTTTCGGTAGAAACGAAATCGGCATTAGACATTCTGAACCACTTTCCCTAAGAAAATTTTCCAAAAAAAAAAAAAAAACAACCAGATAAAAGTTAGAAACCATAAGATAGGGTATAACACCTGAAAAGTTTCCCTTTGGAGGCAAAATCAACAAAAAAAATGTATGAAGGCGTTAATAACACTTAAAAACTAAGGATGCAGTTCGATTTCCCATACCAATCTGAAAATGAGTAAAACCTTTCTTTTCTTCCGGCATGGATGCTCATACTGGCGCAGCTTATAGAATTAGAGAATTCATAAGCCGCAATAAGTTGGCGGAATTTGGTTACTACTCCTCTGGATATTGTACGAACATACCTATATTTCTTAAAGCCTTCGCAAATAACCAATACAGATATTTAAAGTGGCTTTGGTTGGGCTCATCGAAAATCGGGCATCAAAGTTTTTATCACATACGAACATATGTACATACATACATACATACATATGTATTAATTTTTATAAAAACTATAAATAAGAAAATGATGGCATTCATTTTACTTGCCTGCTTAATCCATTAAAATAATTAAAGTTTTTTGAATTAATTTCAACTTTTTACTAAACATTTGCCAATCCAAACGAAAAACACGGACAATAATTTGTTCGAGTCACTGTATGTTTTTCATCTATTCTTAATTAGTAGTACACACTTGTTTGAGCTCATCATGGCCACACCAACGAATAATCATTTTTATCATACATATTTTTAATCATCGACCATCCGCTTCGTTGAGCTAAATAATAATGAAGAAAATTGTTTAAGTGCCTTTTATTTTGGTTTTTAGTGGCATGATTTACTATTATATTATATGTATGTATGTATACTAATACAAGTATTTATATTGGAAATTTTTGGCAAATTCTTCCAAAATTGCGTGCATATGCAAAAATTGAATTGACCTTCATGAAGGTTACTTCTACCTATAACACAAAAACACACATATCTGCATACTTTTAAGATATATATGACTTATACATACATACATATGTATATCAAGACAAAACTACATACTTTGGTACTGAGTAGGTCAGATATAATACATACATACATACATATTTATTTTTCCGTCTGTGAATATACCGAAATTAAAATAAATGGCACGTGCCTGCGTGGTACGAAACAGCTACTCTACATGAAATGCCATGTGACAAAGGCACCCCCACGCCAATCACATGAGTGACAGTGATGTGTGTGTGTGTGTGGAAAATTAAGATTGCGGCACATGCCTTTTTCTTGTTTGTTGTTCCCTTACTGAATACCGTACATCTCTGATCGAGATAGCCCAGGTTTAAAAAAAAATCAAATTAATATGCGCCCTGGGATACCAGGATATTAAAGAGGAATTGTTGTGATTTCTCGAGCACATCGCAATAAGAAAGAACACTGTAGTTAGTTATATCAATGGCTTCATTTGAATGACATTCAAGAGATCACACGACTCAAGTACTCAAGCATGAAAGATACTGTCCTGGCGCTGCCAACGTGAAATCTACCTAGCACCTGAACTGGTTACCTAGGACAATATTTTCATGCCAGGGCCTGTTTTGGCACTTTCGAGAAAATTTTAGTTACGGAAATCTAGCCAGGATCTAGACGGAATTGGGGCTTTATCTAGAGAACTTCCGGCGGCGTATATACCTATTGGAGTAGCAATTTTGTACTTACCTTCGGGTAGGGATGAAAAACCAAGATTGGATTTCCAAGAACCCGGAAATAAATATGTACATATTTATATTAGGGTGGTCCAAAAAGAGTAAAGTCGGAATTTTACCCCCTAGGATTGTTCTATATCGAAAAAAGTGTACCCCTATTTTTATACCCGAGCGCACTTGTGCACAAGGGTATTATAACTTTGTTCACATAACGGTTGTTTGTAACAGGCAAAACGAATCGAGATAGATATAGACAAATGTATACATAAATGATCAGGATGAAAAGAGAAATCGATTAAGCGGTGACTGTCTGTCCGTCCGTCCGTCCGTCTGTCCGTCTGTGCACACGATAACTCGAGTAAAAATTAAGGTATCTTAACGAAACTTGGTACGTGTACTTCTTTCGAGCGTAGGACGGATGGTATTGAAAATGGGCAAAATCGGACAATAACCACGCCTACCTCCCATATAACGGTAATTTTCAGAAATACGAAAACTGCGATATTTTAGTAACTACTGAAGATTATTAACTCAAAATTGATGTTTACAATAATTTTTAGAGGAAAAATAAGAATGTTATAAATTTTTGGAAAATGGGCGTAGCCACGCCCACTTATGGTTATATGTGTATATCTTGGTAACCGCTGCACCAATTTCTTCCAAACTTGGCACAGTTGTTGGCCTTGGTACAGGATACCAAATGGCCGAAAAGTTTTAAAATCGGACAATAACCACGCCCACATCTCATATAACGGTAATTTGGAGAAATACGAAATCTTCGATAAATCAGTAAATATTAAAGCCAATTTATTCAAAATTGATGCTTGCAACAACTCCTTACCAGGAAATACGTCTATAATAAAATTTTGAAACCGCCCACTTATGATCACATATATGTATCTCGGCAACCGTTCTACCAATTTGTACCAAACTCGGTATTTTTATTGTGCTTGTTACATAAAAGCAAAACGATGAAAATTATTGAAATCGGACTAAAATTATGGCTTTTCATATAACGGTAAATTTTAGAAATGCTTTAAACGTCAATATTTTGAAACTTAAGGACGCTAATTTACTCAAAATTGATACACCCCGGCTTACC